TTTTGGGGCGGGATGGGTCGTGGCACCGCATCCACGCCCTCCGGCCGCAGTGTGATCGGCCACACAGGAACGCATGGCGCATCAATGCCTGTGTTCTGGTCCGGTCAGAAAAAATGCTGCATACACTTCTGGGATTTGCCCAGCCCTGGTGCAAACAGTGCCCTAAATGATTTACATTTGTTTTGAATTACACTTGAAAATAACAGTGCACCTCCTGTGACATAAGACTCATAGTTGTATATTTGCAGTGCGATATAGTTTTAGGAACTGCTGCCTCTGCTAGTCTCACCAGATTTGGAGTCAGATTTGGTGATGACACTACTATGCTACTCACTGTTCTCTTTGCTGGAGAGAAAGCTGTACCTGAAGATCTGCACTGCAAAGATCTCCCTGCTTCATCCATTCTGTGGATCTGTGCTTCCACAACCTCTCCCAACAAGGAGTTTGAATGTTCTCCCTGTGCTTGTGTGGGTTTCCACCGGGTACCCTGGTTTCCTCCCACACTCCAAAGAATGCTGGCAGGTTAATTGGCTCCTGTCTAAATTGGCCCTCCTATGTATGCATGTGAGATACGGACCTTAGATTGTAAGCTCCTTGAGTGCAGGGTATACTGATAAGGTACTGATAAGAATTTTCTGTATATAAAGCGCTGTGCAAATTGTTGGCGCTATATAAATAGCTGTAATAAATAAATAATAAACATCAAGAAGCACCATCCATTGTAAGTAACTTCATTAGCATTTTAAAGACCTTTTGACTTCAATTCACTTAAAGACAAAAATAAAAAAAGATATTTTCACTTGAACCTCAGAGCCGGCTAGCTGCTAGCCCCATCAATTGCAAACTCGCTCCCCCTCCACTCCGGAGGTCCAAGTTCCTGTGAGACATCGTGTCTTATACAGTGTTCAGGTGAGTATACCTTTTTTATTTTCGTCCCTAGACGAACACTTAACCTTTTGCAGTTGCCAGGGTAGCCCCACTGAAAGGGATAATTATATTTCTGCCTGGAGTTCTTTTGACTTTAATTTTACTTTAAGATCCATTTACTTCCCTGCATGACTTCTGCAGCTGGCAGGAACAGAGAATGAAGCTATAAACAGTTAAAGTAGCTGTAAGACTTAGGTAAGGGAACTCAAGAGGTCAAAATAAAAAAATGTTGCTCAGGGAGCATCAATGTAATACATCAAGGCAGGCAAAATGAGCCTGGAAATCCAGAGAGCAAGACAGTAGGATGCAACTCAAATCGCAACATTTCTGCGTGCATTATTTTCAAAATATGCAACATCTCCATACCATTCCATATTACACAGCAACTGTATTCACAGCAAAATTGTGTAACATTGTGTAAAATCTGGTAGAACAAACAAGAAATATGCTTGCTGGGGTGGCATGCACATTGAATTGAATATTACTACTTTTAGGCTTGATACACTGATCATATATATTAAACGTTAACGAGCACCTACATTAGGAAGATTAATTGAAACCCTTTCACACAGCTAATTGCGCAAATTAAATAAATATACAAAAAAACAATCATGCAGTTACAGCTCCTACGCTGCAGGGATCAAGTTTTAGACACCACCATCATAGAAGAGAAGCTCCCAGCAATAATCGGAGGGAATAGAGCACCTCTTACACTCCAGATGTTCCCAGGCCAGAGCTAAGGCCTTGTTCACACCAAGCGCGGAGCAGATCCGGACCAGAGCAGGTGCAGACCGGATCAAAACTGCGTCCAATGTATTCCTATGGTATTTTGACCTCCAGTTCACATCGCAGCGTGCGGATCCAGACCAGATCCAGACCGGATGAAAAAACTGCGGCAAGCCCTATTTTAGCTGCTCTGGATCTGGTATGGAACGCATCAAAAACGCATCTAAAACGCAAAAACGCGTGCAAGTGCCTGTTTGGTTAAAAGTGCCGATTTTAACCAAAATAGGCACTAAACGCATCAAAAACACATCCAAAACGCGTCTAAAACGCGGCACAACCCACTGCACTGCGTGTGCAGAAACCTGACCGGATCTAGTCTGCATTTGGTGTGAACAAGGCCTAACAGATGGCCCAGCTGAGTGTACGGTCAGCAGTTTTATGCTTCCCACGGGGGTAAAAAGCACAGGGTCTACCATGATAGCTGCTGCTGTGCTTTTATAATTAGCAGTAATGAGGCTCTATAAAGTGACCCTGTCATTTATTTGGCACCCCTTGGTGTAATAAGCAGTAAGTACCCTAGCTCCTGGACTTTCTAAAAGTGCAATGATTTCACTTGCAGGGCCACCCACTAAAATGTGGCACAGTAACCACTGCAACATGGTCTCGCTTTAGTGAAACGATGATTATATACTTAGGGCCTTAAAAAGAGGCTTCATTACCCGGGGGGGGGGGGTAATTAATGCCCCCACATTCACTAGCCATCTGCAAAGGAAAGCATTATTGAAGACTATCAGGTATTACCTTATTTCAGCAAAAGCATACTTGTGCAATGTACTGCAAATGATGCTTACACACAAGATGCATTGTTACATACAAAAGAAAAAAAGGATCAAACATCTGCAAACTCTCAGCTCGGTTCCATCGTTTACAGTTATAGCGGAACTAAAGTAAAATGTGAATTCACTCCTGAAAACCTGCCCTATCCCTGCTATCCCAACAAACTTGCTACAATGCAATTATATAAGATAACGAAGAGCATGGATTGAAGAAAGAGCCACTCCACAGTCCCATAGCAGCTAATCACAAGGACAGATTCCTAGGCATTTGATCACATGATCTCTACTGAAGGGATGAGTCAGAGTTCAGACTGGCTGACCCTACGCATTGTTCAAAACTCGTGACCACAAGACCAGCCACTGTGGGATTCTGGGGGAACATTTCCTTTTATCTTCTGTGACTTTAATGATCTGGGGTGGGTAGCAGGAAGGAAATATTTGTCTCTCTTAATCAATAGGCATTACATACTGAATTCTCAAACAGAGCACATGTTGGGGTTTCAGTGGTTCATAAAAATGTAAGTCACAGTCGACTGACACTGACACAGTAAATCTGATTATTCAACAATAATGCAGACAAATACATTATCTGTGCCTATCGCACATGTATTATTTACCTCCCTAGGGTCAGAGCCACAGAGGTGTAGGTGCATCTGAAAATCGTGCACAATTGTCTGCCCACTGTTATCAAGTCACTGGTGACCGATTTTTCAGGCAACATGAGACTAGAGCTACATGAGCTATTTACATTTTTTTGTCACATAGATTGAACTGCTTGCTGGTAGTCACTGGAATAGGTTAGGAGCTTCAGAGGTGGTTTTCAGTAACCCAGTCCTGCTACTAAAATTAAGTAGCAATTTGATAGTCAAAACATATGAAACAAATTGTTCTCTATGCAGTAAGCTAGACAAGTGGGATGTAGCAGCAACCAATCACACATGAATGGGGCATTATGTGATCAAGTGAAACTTATTGCTATTACATGCTACTTGTGTAGCTTACTCCATAAAGAGCCATGCATCCCACTTCTTTGCGATTATTTGCTACACCTAAATATTAGTAGCTAGCCATTTTAGTACCAGGATTGAGCTACTGTTAATCATCTTTCAAGCTCTAGTCTACTCAATGTTAGGGCTGCAACTAATGATTATTTTCATAATCGATTAGTTGGCCAATTATTTTTTCAATCAATTGGATAAAAATTAAATAAATACCATCCATAATTTAAAATAAAATACACAAATGCAGTGTTACAAACAAAGTTTACTTCTGAATAAAACTGCATGCACAATTTTTTGCAATCGCACTGCACTGGAACACACGGCATTCCAGTGCGGGCGATCACACTGTGGGTAGGAAGCGCGTTTGGGACGCCATTGAAACGAACGGCACTGCAATGCATCTCATGCAGCAGAATTTGTCAGGCCGAAAATGACTTTTTTTTTCCCACCTTTTGTACGTGGCGTTTGGATAGCTTCAGCCTGGGAATGAAAGCTGCCAGTGGCAAGATTCCGTAGACGGCAGATGAATGTAAATACAGCAGGTAGTGTGTTGATACAATAGCCAGCCTGCTACTGGCCATTTAAAATTGCAATAGCCAATAGCAGGCTGGCTATTGCACCCGCCCACTGCTTCCTGTGCCCTCCTCCCAGCATGGAGGAAAGAGCCAGGGGATCCAACCAACTAATCGAAAATGAGAATAGTTGACAACTATTCTCATAATCGATTAGTTGGTTGCAGCCCTACTCAACTTACTGTGATGGGCTGGGAGAGGTATAGCAGCAGCATCTAATGGGACACTGGAAAGCAGTCATCAGCCCACCAGGAATGGTCAAATAGCTGCCGTGGGCAGGGAGAGATGAAGCAGCAGCATCTTAAGCCATATGGGACACTGAAAAACAAACTATATATAGATAACTTTTACATGGCTAGTCTTCTTTTACCACCCTTTGGTGACAGCGTCGCCGTAACCCCCTGCTGGCAGTCACCGTAATAGTCTACAAATACACAGATGATTATTAGTAGCTCAATCCCGATACTAAAATTGCTAGGCACTCACTTTTAGGTGTAGCAAATAAGTGATCATGTTGTGACAGGGCCATTTTAAATATTAGTAAGAAGAGATTACATTTGCTTGTGTAACTTAGCCCCCAATGGTACAGCCTAGGAAACATTTATGAGATCTAGCCAAAGTTTAACACAGTGGAATAAAAATAGACGCCTCCTACATCTCGGTAACTGCAGTCATCTCAAGAAAAGTTTTCCTGCAGAAAAAGAAAAAAATATATATATATATATTTCTTTAAAATATATCACAATCTAAAATACAAGATACAGCAGGTGGTGTTACAGGCTGGATTAAATGCGGTTTACTTTGACAGGTAACCAGGACTAAACCCACAAGAAGGAAGAAGACTCTTAAAGACATAAACATCTATTTTTATCACACACAAAAGTCAGATGCAATGAACCGGAATGCTATGTCTGAATGATCGTCTTAGTAAAGGATACGTGGAGTTCCTTCTGTCCTACAGACCAAGTAAAGGCAGGCAGCTATAACGTGCGTCATCTTCCTACCGCGAGTGAGGTGCTTGCTGACAGCCATTTTGAAGAAATTGAAGGCAGTGTCCAGGCAGTGCTTGTTGAGTTGCAGCTGTACCCCTAAATTGTGGATCTGTCTCTTTCCTATAAGAGAAGAAAAGCAATAAGGTCATTTTACGTGATTTTAAATTCCACACTGGTCTGCAAGATTTCACAATAGCCACTCATACCGTAGGAGACATACACCTGAAAATGACCCAGAAAACCAAACATTTGTTTACATTCCTACTATAAAAAGTTACACTTTTCCGGTTGTCAAACACTTGTTTCCGAATTCTAAGCCCCCATTCACACCTGAGCATTTTATAATGTGTTTCCCTACGTGCAGAATCCCATTGTTTCTAATCGTGCCTGTTTAACATTTAGACGCTTGTAGCTGGACACCCTGCGTTAAGCTTATGATCACACCATGTCCGGACCACATCTGGAGCAGATCTGCAAATGCAGCTTAAAATGGGCTTTCAGGTGCCGTCCAGTGCGTTTGCATGCATGTGTATGTGTTTTCAATAGTTTCCTTGTGTTCCAGTGCATTTCAGACCAGAGAAAATGAGATAAGCAGTATTAATTTTCTGGACTGGAGCGGAATAAGCCCAGAAATACGATAGGGATACATTGGGATGCTTTTTTGGTCTGGGAACAAACTGTTCTGGTCTAGACATAATGCGGATATGGTGTGAACAAGCCCTTAAAGAAGTGCATGAGTTTTGTTTGTTTGTTTTGGGCGGGGGTGTTTAGACTTCATTGGGAGTGCCTATAAATGCAAAATAAGTTTTTCCGTGCCTAAAGAACTGCTCTCCTCCTCTAGAACCACTTTCCATTGGCCGAAACAAAAACACTTCAAGCTTAATGCATGTGCAAAAAACGCTTGCACAAAGCTTTCAAAAAGCACCAACATGCATGGAAAGAATGCTGCATGCACAATTTTTTCTGGTCTGGAATGCACCAAAACGCAAAAAAACACACACATGCAAAACACAGGACTGCACCTGAAAGCCTATTTTAAGCTTTTTAAAAATGCACCGGAATGCGGCAAAAACACACTGCACTGCATTGACAGATCTGCTCCGGACATGGTGTGAACATAGCCTAAAAGGAGAATTATGAGGCGAGTGAAAAACAAACACTCATCCCCATAATTCAAGGCAACCTGTGATACTGAAGCTGTCACAGGTCGGCTCTATAGATCGGGAAGTGAGCGAACACATACCGCTAATCGCTGACCCAATCCTCTTCTTGCAGAGAGTGGTGACTGCGTCACCGCTCCCCACAGGGATTCCCCACTCCCCTCTCCGTTTCTCTGGCGCTGACTGGACGAATGGACAGGAAGGGGGCGGGCACAGCTGACCCTGGTTCTAGAGAGGCACAGCCAGCTGTCAATTAGCCAGCAGGGTAGATCTCAGTATTGTTGGGACCCGTCACAGCTGTAGCACGGCTCTGCACTCTCAGCATGCCTGCTATATACTGAGTTTTGGGTCACCGGAGGACATTAGTATATGTCCTCCAGTGACCCTGAAGAGAACTATAGCAAAAAAAAAGGTTAGGCCACAGTTCTCTTTTAAGGAACAGCGTCCTGAGAAATGCCATCACTGCAGTGCATGTAGACAGAATGTGCGCAGTTGCAGGAGATCTGCAGGGCTAATATGCAAGAAAGAGTATAAGAATTGTAATTAAGGGAAGTGTTGATTAGAGTTGATCTCGTTTTAATTGCTGCAGAATAGGAATAGATGGAGAAGGAATACATTGGTTTGGATGCTGAAGTGTGTGCTCCATATACCAGGACATTCCGAATAACTATTATTATTGGCTCTTACGAGCAGCCGTCAACTATATCTGTTGCAAACTATGACAATATCAAATTAAGTGTATAATACAGAAATAGGAAAAAAAAAAAAAAGAAGTCCAGAATTCTTCTGTTTCTTCATTTCAGAATAGGAATACAGAGCTGGGAGCTATACAAGCTGCAGGGAGGAACAGCAGACACAACAATAGGCTAGACTGGATGTGATCAGCTCCCTGTCAGGAAGTCTTGCCCTGAGGACATGAGTCAAAGGTTAAAGTGTTTCCAGAAAATGCTACAATACAATTAGCAGACAACCTCTGAGGGGTCTGCCTTTGCTGTCAGGTTAATCTTCTCCATCAATTTCAAACACTCAACCGGTTACAACTACATCACTGCTTTCCCTTACACAGGAAAAAATAATATGAAGCGTGCCTCAGCAGTTAGGTTTATTCTCTGTAGTTATGTGGCTAATTGAACTAGACAACAAGGTGTCCAAAAGGTTGGCACTGTGGCCTTACAGCACTATGGTCCTAGATTTTAGCCATTTGCGGCCAGAACAGACAAAGATGTCACTATGCGAGACTCCAGAATCTGATCTCTATTGTTCCCCTTGTTATAAGTGGTGTGAGAGCCATACGCTGCCTGGTGCTGCTCCTTTGCTCTGCCTGAGCAGAATGTTTACCCTTGGCACCCCTAAGCAAAAAGGTCAAAGTTCACCCCAATGAGCTCTGAACTACTTCAGCAACATAGGTTGCAGGTGCTACCCTTTCTGTGCCCTCCTACTGCTGAAGCGCCCAAGGCGACCACCCCTTCTGCCTAGACCTGGTTATGATTCCCCTCAAGGTGGTGTTTGAGGATAAAAACGCTTGGAGATCAATAGGAAAGTTGCTTTAGAAGCATGGCGGTGTGAATGCCTGATGTAAAATGAAGTGTAAATTCTAACAGGGTTATGCACAGAAGAGTGAACAGTTTGGAGAAAGCAGGAGAAGTGAACAATCTAGGACAACATAGCTGAACTGGAAAGTGAGCTGAATTGGAGAATTTTTCTGAATCAGCTATGTTGTCCTAGACCAGGGGTGCCCATTAGGTAGATCGTGATCTACCAGTAGCTCTCAAAGCAGATGCTGGTAGATCACGAAGGGTGTGATGGCGGCCCCTTTATTCCATTTTGGTATATTTATTTAGCTGTGCACACATGATTACCTATTAGCCTGAGTCTGCTGGGCCAAGCTCCCCGACACCTTTCTCAAAGAGAGACAGCCAGAGGAAAGAGCAAGGAGAGACAGCCAGAGGAAAGAGCAAGGAGAGACAGCCAGGAGGATAGAGCAAGAAGAGACAGCCAGGAGGATGAGCAAGGAGAGACAGCCAGGAGGATGAGCAAGGAGAGACAGCCAGGAGGATGAGCAAGGAGAGACAGCCAGGAGGATGAGCAAGGAGAGACAGCCAGGAGGATGAGCAAGGAGAGACAGC